ATACTTTTTTTTTTGTTTGTTTTTAAGTAGGCCCTAGGAATTTGAGTATATAACTGAGGAAAGAAAGTTGAATGGCCCTGCTCATAATGGACTAGAGAGTTTCCTAAACTGTTGCTAATAAGCTTCAAAGTGCACAAAACTCAGCGGCTGTGTGGAAATAGCAGTTCAGATACAGAAACAGTTACATGCACCCGTGGAACAGTTAATCTGTAACCTTATGAATAGAAATAGATGGATAATAAAAAACCAATTTCAGTATTCTTGTTATTTTTCTCCTCTGTCCTTGTGTTATGTTAACATTTTATTTTGCTAACAGAACTATTTTCTCTCAAAGCTAATAAAACACTTTCTGTGAAGCTGACTTTCAGCCACACCCATGTTCCAACCTGAATTCAAGAATCTCCACTTCCTAGTCCTTCCAGCCACTAACACTACATTGTGGGAAAACTTTTTTTTTCTCTTTCTCTCTTTTGTTTGTGTGTTTTTTTTTTTCTTTTTATAGGGTACTGCTTACTAGTTTTATAGGTACCATTTAATATTCAGTGCAGTTTGTAATTTAGGAAAATACACAACTGTTAGTAAGGACAGCAAAATATTGCAAGTGCAACTGTGGTCATCTCTTAGAATTTTCCTTGTAAATGTTACAGAAAATTTTGATGTGTTCAGGCTGATACTAAGTATCAAATCAGCTCCGTAAACTATTCATTCTAGATATTCCCACTGATTAGCTTTCCTTCCAGATTTGTAAAGTACACGTAAAATGCAACAAAAGTGGCAGAACTGTAGTTTATTACCTTGGTTTTTCTACTGAAAGTGTTTGTAGGATGGTTTTCAGCAAACCTGTCTGCAGCGGTCAGTATTCTGTTGCCTTAGCTGTACTCTCATTCTGGGTAACGCAGTTACCATATTGAACATCTACTGTTGCATCAGTTGAAGCAGGTTTTCTCATAGGAATAATCCTAACTGGATACTCAGGAGTGTTGTATCTGGTACAGGCAGAGGGCTGCTGTTTACTCGAGTTTGAAAGTTGAAAGACTATTTTCATTTTGTCTCTGACTAATTTTATTTGAGAAGTCTGGGTGCAATTGCTCCTTTTGCGTAAACAGATGGTATTGTATAGTGAACATGTGACTTTTATGGGGTTTCTTTTATTTACAGTTTGTAAAAGCTGCATAGTGAGGCACTTCTACTATAGCAACAGATGTCCAAAATGCAATATCGTTGTACATCAGACCCAGCCCCTTTATAATATCAGGTAATAAACTCATACCATTTTTATAGTTTGGTTTGGTGTGGGTTTTTTTCAAGTTTTACTGCTTGCTTTTTAAATGTTTTGTTTTACAGACTTGTAGAACTTTCCCATTTCAAAGGAAAGAACAGTTACAAGTAACACATTGTGTTCTTTGTTTACATAAGCTTCATCTCAATGGTGAAGATAAAAATATTCAATTTCTTGTTTTATCTAGGTTGTATCCCTTTCTAGGGTTTGTTACATTCCACCCTGGGCATTTTTATGCATTTGCTCAGTGTTACAGGTGTTATGGGATCTTAACTATTTGCTTTGATTTCCTTTTAGAAAAAGCTTTGTTGGCATGGTATACTCACTAAATTAAAATTTTAGTTTTAGTTTCTCTAACTGTTAATGAATTCTTGAAGATGGTGCTTTTAACTTTACATGGCTTCTTCTGTTGAAACTCTGCTGTCAGGACATGAATTTAGACAGATATGGAGTTGCTGCTCTGTCACTCTTCTCTTTATGTACATCATATTTCAACAGTGTATTTGGTATCTCTGTTACAATTTAATGAAAACCATTCTGTATTGCACCAAAGACACTTCCTTTTTTTTCCCTCTTTAATAGATTGGACCGGCAACTTCAAGATATAGTCTATAAATTAGTTGTCAATTTGGAGGAAAGTAAGTAACTTACTTTATTTTATTGCCATCTGGAGATTGAAAAGACCGAACAGAAAACAGTAATTCAAAGCCCTGTTTCTGCTCTGGGCTCTTTAAGATAGTTTTGTGGTGTAGATCTTAGTGAATTAGCTGTGCCAGCTGGCATCTTTCTGACTGCTAGATGCTATTATGGATAGAGGTGTGTACCCTGTCTCATGAAACACAGATGGCACCGTATGCAGATAAACATTCAGATAGTATTTCATAGTCATGCCTCATATTTTTGTGTAAGTACAGAAAATACCATTCTGTCTGATAAGTTCACTTGCCTCAGTTGAAAAATAGTTGCTAAGACTGATTCTCTCAAAGGCTTTTCTTTTTCTTTCACTGCCACGTTTATTTTTTTCCTCACTGTCACGTGTCATTTACCTTGAACTTAGGGAGCCAATGAATCTGCACAGCCCGCTTGGATGGACTGAGTTAAGTATACACATCTAGTGGGTATATATGGACTATAGATAGTATAAAAAACAATCATGACAGCCAGAAGGATACTAGTCTTTGCAGCTATTTCAGTGTGATGTATGGCAAATTTCTCTGATTTCTTCCCAGTTTTTACTAACAAACTCTTAGTCTGCATATCTTAATTGTCCCAGTCTTATATGGCATGCTAGTGATGGTGAAGGTCTCTAAGAATTTGGAAAAGTTTTACTGTTCTGAACATTGGAAACTATATGGATATTCTCAGCATCTGAAATAACATTCCAATCTGTTCTGTATTGTGTTTTTTTTTTCAGGAGAGAAAAAACAAATGCATGACTTCTATAAAGAAAGAGGATTAGAAGTGCCCAAACCAGGTGAGCTGTAATCACTTTAAAAGACACTGTTAAGGAAAGATTTACTATCCCATTTATTCTTAACGACTTTCCTTGAAATACTAGCTCACAACTGAAGAAAATATGTGGTATTGGAAATACGGGATTCTTCGTTGTCTGATTACTGTGACTTCTCACAGATCTTAAATTACAAAAATAGAGGATGGTGCTGCCAGCACTTAAACTTAGATCATGGTTGGAAGGGTTTTGTTAAACAGATTATATTTTACTTATAACCAGGAAATATATATAAAATGTGCGTTAACTTTATTTTCTGGCCCTTAATAAATAATAGACATTACAAAGAAGTAAAAATAAGAACTTTGAAGTCTGTTGACAGATGAGGGGGATTATTCTAACAATTTTTAGTCTTACTGTCAAATTAAACAGCTCTTTGGAGAGATGCCATGCTGAAAGCTAATAAAATGCTGGTTCAGATACATAGCATGAAATGTATAAAGAGCTGATTTAGTCGTAAAAAATAGGATGAATTGCATGGGCACGTTTTCCTTATGAGCTCATCTGTTTCGCTTGGTGCATGTTAGCATCTTATGCTGCTTTTATTTCAAGCTGTGTTTCCATTTTGGCTATTTGAATATTTTAGCTGTCCCACAGCCAGTTCCGGTTAGCAGAGGAAGACCTCGAAAAGTTCTGGGCTCTGTGTTCCGGATCCCACCGGAACTTGACATCTCCATACTTCTGGAGTTCATTGGGTGAGTTGTGGGCAAACGTAAGAGCCAGTGGCTGATGTGAGGGTGCTGCTCGTGTGTGTTGGACCATTCCTGGGTCTTGGTTGTCATTGAACGTGCTTTCCTCCGTCTCGAATAGCAGATAGGGAGCTGCTTTTGACTTACGGTGCAATAGTGACAGCCAACTATGCATAGCTAGATAATGCAGATACTTAAATGTGTAAGGTGTCTTCATATGAAAATAGCTTCCTAAGTGTGTAGTTTTAAAACTTACATGTGTTTGTTTTATTTTTTAAAAAGTAGTGCAGTCTCAGTAAACTGACTGATGAAATACCTGTCTCTTTCACTTCCTTAATCCCATAGGTGGCAATACCATTAATGCTGACTATGTTAGAACATGCTCATGTAACTCAGGGTCTGCAACTGCAACCTGGGCAGCAAGAGCAGTGTTCCCATAGATGTTAGAGGTGGGGGTCTACTGTTAAGTTTGCCTGACAGTTTCCCAGACTTTAATTATGCTGAAGCTTTTATATCAGGCGTCGCCTTTAGCTGTGGATTGTGAGGGGGGAAATCCAGTTGTTTTCAGGAATACAGGAAGGAGAAACTGTATTGCTTTGGCCATGTGCAGATTTGTATGTTAATGATTGAGAAAGTACTGAAAGCTTTCATGACATAGTGCAGCACCTCAATCGTTGGGGGGGAAGCAGCTTGACTTTTGCAGCTCTTTCCCCTCTACCCAGATTGTGTCTGCTTTTGGCCTGACTTTGGTTGAACAAAATGTTCAGAGAATTCCCATATGTAATCATAGCAAACTATTATGCAAATGATGTAAAGTCAAGCCATCAGAAATTAGGAAGTTCTGGCAGCAAAGCCTACCATCTTGATTCAGCCTCACCCTTTGTCAACATCATGTCCTCGTCTTCTCATGTGTTATGTCCAGTGTTTCCTCTGTGTCTCACTTTATTCAGTGCAGAACAAATTTCCCCCATGGGTAAATTTTGGTCAGGTAGGTCGTGGTGTAGGTTGTGGTGTATGGGTTTGCTTGTTTGTTTGCTTTTTTTAAGTGTTGCCCATCACATGGCTTCTGTATTTTTTTTAAATGTATGAGAAATGGGATTGCAGGAAGAAAAGAGAAGATAATCAAGCTAAACCTCTAGGGAGCATTCCCTGGCTGTTCTGTAGAATGTCCTTGCAAATCCAGATGCCTGACTTAATTTCAGCATTCGTTTTCTGAATGCTTGACTTGCAGAAGTGCTGACTGAATCCTCACAAGCACAGCTGAAAGCAGTGGGATTAATGATTAAAACTGTAGTATCAAGTGTTCTGCAGACAAATTCAATCTTGGATGTCTCAAACTGGGCATCTGCAGTTTTTGTTTACCTTTCAACACTCTCTGTCTCAGGTTCCTCTTTTTAAACAAGGTATTATACTGTCATTCTGCTGAGTAGGATGGTATGGAAATAAATTCATGTGTAAAATGTGACCAAGAAAGTTAATGTTTATGCATTAAGAGCAGGATTGTCAAAAAGCCAAGAGCCGTGTGTTGGAACAGGAGAGGAAATTATATAGCTGTTCAGCTGAACTTAATTTAAATAAAGTTTTTCATTAAACTTATAAAACACATGATGTAATTAGTACACGGTCCTAGTGACCTGGTGCTCAGGCATGCTTTTTACCTCATTGGGTAAATGTGATTAAATGGATTTACACAGACATAAGATAAAATACTTTGACTAAAATTTCAGTAGAAAAGAGTAAATCTAATGCTATTTACCCTACATTTATGTTGGGTTAGAAATGTACGTGCCATTATTTTATTGCCTTGGCTGTGACTGTATCTCATCAAGTTACCATCTAGATATGAGTTTGAAGGATGCCCATTCTGGGACCCATGATGGGTACCAGCCAATGCTGTGCTGGCCCAGCAGGTGGCAGAGGGAGCGTATGGATTGAAGGGACATAGCCGTGTGCTTTTATACCAAGAGTCCTGCATCTTTCTCAACGATAATTTCACTGTAAAATGGCTTCAAAAAACAGGAATTAGATTTAAGTTCCAAGGATATCTTTTTCAGGTTGCAACACTTGGTGACTCTGTAGGAAAGCTTCCTTAGATTGTCTTGACTGCAGGCTTGGGTACAGTTTGAACTCACTGTAGTGAGAGTACTTTGGTTTAGGTCTCCACTGTGAAAGTCTCCTGCTTACTTCCCCCCTTCTGTGATTCTCAGCAGGTATGTCTGTGTTTTTTCAAAGCAAGAGGAAGATGTCAGGCAACTTAGACTTCAAAACTAGTAAACATGTATCTGCCTATCTGTGAAACAAGATGACTTTTGAGTCTGTGTTGTTGTATTTGCTTTTCTGGTAGTTTTATTTGAAGCTTCCCTTCCAGTGTTGGCAGCAAAGCAGGTAATATTGTGCAAATCGCATCTATACTGTGTGAAACTGTCCACTGTGGTTTTATTACTTATATGGAGGGAAGCACAGAAACTTTCTAACAAGAAACCAACGATGGCTTAACAGCATCTACTTTGCATTTTATTTGTGACTTTTTTAACCTTTTATCTTCTTCATACTTTATATCTTTAAAGGTTAATATGTTTTCCTCTTCCGTGGTCAAAATCAAAGATTTTGATGATGAGAGATTAAGAAAACCTTTTGGATAAAGAAAACTTGGAATAGATTGGACAAGCCAGCCGAAATTGTTACTTTCAAAGTCTGTCTGTATGCGTCCTTAAGAGTATATTATCTCATTGCCTGTGGCTGTGGAACTGTATCAAAGAAAATGACACTGTAGTGGAAAACCTTTTATATATTTCTTAGTAACGTTAAATTTTGTTTCAGTGGGAGAATTTGATGATAGTTTTACTTAACTCCGATAGCTGATACGTATTTATAGGTGGACATACTCAATTACACTGCTTGAAGTACCATGCTAATGAGTGGTCTGCACAAACATGACAAATACGTTTGTTTGCTGTATCAAATGATCAGTAGAAGTATAGTTGATTTATAGTGATGTTTGATTTTTGCCCTCTCTGGTGCAAGAAAATGCTGCATTTTTTCTTCTATGTACATGCCTACTAATGCAATGCAAGCATAGTGAAATGTCATGAATTTGGCTTAATTAATCAAGAAGTTTATACATTGCACTGCAAGATGGAGGTGTGGAGTACAAATCATCAGTATTAGATCACATGCTCAGACTGCTCAAAGCAATGAACCTCTGTTGAAGCCAGCTGGGAATTTGGTCATTTGCCACCTTAAGTGTGTATTTCACCTTTCAGAGAAACACCTGCTGTTTTCCTGAGTTCCTAGATAGCATTAGCGTTAACCCTGTGATGTAAATAGTCTGGAAGGCCAATAACTGGCCCAGAAAGTCTCTTCAGTGGTTGGACCTGTTCTGTCAGCAGCTTCTTAGGTACTGTCTGTTAAAGTTCCAAATATCAAGGATGATGAAGCATGGATGTTTAAGCAGCATTAATATTACAACTTACTCTTACGAAAATTAGTGTTATGTTGTGTTCAAAAATGGCTTTAGGCTGTGTTGTTTTTTTTGCCATTTCGTGTAGACAAACCTTAAAGTCATAAATAACTGAATTCACAAGAGAAATGGAGTAACAAATAAAAGGTAGGAGAAAAAGATATATGAATGCAGTCTAATGTTATTTCATGTATTAGAGTTCAATGAAAGGAAGAGCCTGGTTCAGAAAATAAGCTTGATATGCCAGACTACTAATTCAGTAAGTCACTATTATAATAAAGAGCTTGGGGGTGTTAATAAATGTTAACTTTAGCAATATTGACTGTGTTTACTCTTCTCTTGTTTTTCAGAGCTAACGAAGGCACAGGGAATTTTAAGGTGCAGATGAGATTTGAATTTTTCTTTTATGATTTACTTCAGAAATATGTATAACCTGAATGTATTTAATTTAGTTTGTTTTTCTTACACTGAGCGTAGCCTGAACTTTCATCAGCACAGTAACAACCAACCTTGGATTACAGTGTACTTTCAAATCTATTGTTGTATAGCATCACAAAATAGGACAAGAGTGCTTCTGTGGTTACCTAATTAAAGTTTTGGTGGGAGAATGGGAATGATACTGATGAAATTTCAGCTAGGTGATTCTAGCTTCTTATTCTTGCATCTCTCTCCAAAAGGTGCACTACTATGGCTTTTATTGGAATCCTAAACAAAGGTGTAGACATTGCCTAATATACTGTTTTTTGAAGGAGATTCTCTAATTGTACTGGAAAGCTTGCATAGATTATTCAGAGGAAGCACAGCCTGAGGTATAGCAATTGTAGGATAAATTGCAATATGCTTATACATATGCTCCAAAAATACAAACAGTTGACTAGATGGCACCATACACTTCCATAGCCAGCAGAAAGCTTATTCTTTTCTCCATCTCTTCACTAGCAATGTTTGTTGTTTGGACAGTGACTGTTCTGCTAAACAAGAAATAGTGTTCTCAATCCTTGCTGTACTTCTTCCAGCACAGATCTCTTTACTGAGCTGCTTCAATACAACCTCACAGAGGAACTGCACATTGTTTGCTGCCTTCATGATTTCATATGCTGTAGTTAGAGATGCTCAGAGTGTGTCATTTCACTATTTGGCTGAACATTTAGAAAACAAGACTCTTTTCAAGGGCAAGAAGGAGATGTAATTAAAAATTACTCATTTAATCTTTCATTATATTGGAATTGTAGGACTCAAAACATGGAATGGCACAGAATAATAGGATGTAAGAGACACCTAACTGGTGCAGTTAGCAGAAGAATTTTCCTGTTGAGGAGTCTGAGAAAAAAGCATGTTAGTAACTTAAATATGAATTATCCTGATTGTACCATTTTACTAATTTCCTTCATGTTTTGAGCTGAGTTGATTGCTTATCAATGTATTTTCAGGCACAAATCTGAACTGTTAGATTTGATTGCAGTTGTTCATACTATTTTTAATAGCAGTTATATTTGTTATGGCAGAGCTTAGGAGGCAATTTCAAACTTTCAAATACAGAAATAAGAATGTGAGTATAGTTTCGTAAAACACAATTAATCTGTAAAAAGGGGCAGCGTTCCTGAAAATGTCCGCAGTCAATTCTCTTCATCTCTTATACCCCCACACCTACCAGCACTTTTTCTTCTTTTTACCCTTACATTTCACACTATTTTTTTTCATCTTCTTGCCCTCGTATCACGTCCCATCCAGTCTGTCTCATATTTACCCTTCTTTCTGCTTTGTTTTTTATCCTGTTCACTTTGGGTCACACAAGAATGACTGTAGGGCAGTTCAACCACTTTATTAACTTAACGTGTTGTAATATTAAAATCTGTGTCAGACACTTATTTTGTCTGAAACATGCCATTCCAGTGCAAGTAGTTTTGCCTTTTAAAAAAAAGACACTTGACTGAAGCATCATTAAGGAGTGTTTGTGAGTCAGGAAAGGGATTTTTTTTTTTTGCGTAAGTTTGCTTTTTGCCTTTTAAGCCATAAATATTCCTGCTCACTGTAACTCTAGTGTTCTGAGGATGTTGAAGATGAAAGGCTGGCCACCAGTACTCACAGTGAATAGTTCTGTGTTGCAAATAATCTTACTATCTAAGTGACTAAAGCGCCACTCAGCTTATGTGCATATTTCCGTCATCTGTGTGTTTTAAGAAATACCGCATCTTTTAACTGGTACTTTTCTACAGCATTTTCAAATTCTTTGCTGTATGCTAAACCCCTGCTTCACTGTATCTTTTCTTCCTTTCTATCCTTATTTTCTCTGCTGCACTTTGTATCTTCATGCTTTTTTATTCCACTTCATGACCAAGAGGTTTACTCGTCAACCTTCCAAATCCTCTTTCATGTCCACTTCTGACAAAACATACCGTGATCCATTTTTAGCATTGCTCTGTCCTCAAATGCTTGTTTATCTGTCTTATTTTTCTGAACTAGATGTTGAACTTAATATATTAAGATTTTTTTAAGTGGGATTTGAGGGAGAAAAGAACAGGTTACAAAGTCCATGGCCATAAACTGTGATTTATACATGTAGCAAGCATAAATTCAGCATAATCAAGCTTGCAGCAGCATGGTTTCCCTAGATCAGGTCTGACTGGCATTTCAAGCTCTTGTACATGAATAAATCAAACTATTATTCCAAAACCACAGTTATCATGAATGCATATTTAAATTCATGATTGAATTCAAGGCTAGTCTGTGACCCTCTGACTCTTCTTTCAAATTGAAAGAATATGATGAACTTGGATAGTAAATCACAGCTGTTCAGAAGTGAACATAAAAATCCAATTAATTGACACAAAAGGTAATCCATTTATCACACTGAATGCAGTCATCTGCTCTGCCTTTGTGCCTCTGCTTAGCTGCCTGTATCACCAGTCAGCTGTTTAAAATTTTATCCGCAGAAGAAAAACTCATTAAAATTTTTGAGGCTGGCATAACAAATGTCTTGTCATTGCAGTCCTTGCTGTGAAAGTATTTAGAAGTGGTACAAAAAGATTTCAGACTAGTCTTGCCCTTGTGTTCTCCATAGTAGTATATTTTAATTGATTCTGGAATTTCATGGACTATTAAGTTTATTCCAGCCCAAGCCATAATGCTTCTGGAATGCTAAAAGACTTCAGCTCTTTGCATTACAAAATGACATGGTTTAATTATCTGAATCATGTTTTGTACACAAGCCTGATTTGGGGAAAATAAGGAAACTTTAGGAAATAGTTCACGTGCTTCTGATGAGTAAATGCTTGTGGGGGGGAGAGGTTCTTAAAATGCTGTGTAATACTAATTTCTATGCAGAGTTAATAGCAAATATTCTGCAATACTTCAGTAGTGAAATAGAACTGAAACCAGTAGTTGATTATTTTTAAATGTTGTTTTAAATGGCAGGAAGTTTTAACCTGGAGTCTTAATACGTATTTAGTCCCTTTTTTATGAGGTAATCTGGAAGTAGATCAGACAAGGATGTAAAAATGTAGATTGTCTCCCTCTGTTATTGGGCTTTCACTTGGGTTTGGGGTGTATGAGGGATGATGACTGAAAACGTACATTGTCTTAAAATCTTACATTTATTCTTTGCAGCCTTTGGAAAAGAAGTTTGTGCGTGTTTCAGGGGAGGCAACAATTGGACATGTGGAGAAATTCCTCAGAAGAAAGATGGATCTGGACCCTTCTTGTCAGGTACACCACTTGTAGTGGCATTTTTAAGGTCACTGTGATCAATGTAATGCCTGCGCTTCAGACAGGACCTTTCTCTTGTACATTAGAAGTAATGTTAGGCTTTTTAATGCAGTAAGGACTAAAAAATGACGTTTGAAATGTTGTGATCCACAAGGAACAACTCTCCTAACTCATTTGCAACATGTTTAAATTCATTATAGTGCTTTATTATTTGTATAGAGTTTCTCAAGTGACATGTAAGATTTCAGCAGATTAAATTCGAAGCCAAAAGCTACTGCTGTTTCAAAGATAAATCTGAGTATATAGACAGGAGAGTGTGGGAGGATATGAAGGTAAAGACAGGTAGGAGCTGAAAATAACAGTAAAATTTAACCGAACGTTGAAGAAGCAAACGAGCTAAGAAAGAATGATACTGTGGATGGATGTGGTGAAATGAAGGGTATGAATGGAAATGTTGGTACGTGCCTCCAAATAAGAATTCCAAGGAGCAGAATATGGTACAAAAGAATTTAACTTCATATTTCTCAACCATTTTGATAGGAATTTCATGATAAAACCAGTTTTAAATTCTTCAGTATATTTCAACAACCTTTCAGTTGAGAAGGTGCAGGAGTTTCATAATGCGTAAACAATTCTTAAAGCTGTCAATTATTGGTGAATCAAGCTGATACTGATGTGAATGGGCAAATGGGGGAAGTTAAGCGCTGGCTTTGGAGTTAGGGCTGTGTTTTCATACAGCAGTAACTGTCTGAGACAATCCAGCATGACTGTGTGCCTCAGTAATGAGTATTTATTCACGCCGCTTTCCTTTCCAGTGGTGACAAAGCAAATCAGATATGAATTATTCATCGTTCTGAGAAAGTAGTGTATTTTTGTTTGCTGGTTTCCTCTCAGTGAGAGTCTCTAGCTTTCAGTTGATGGTTGACTTGATGTTCTGAACAAATAAAAGTATCCTCAAAATGAAGCTAGGGAAACTTCTTGCATTAATTGAGTTGTTGTTTATTTGAGGGGAAGGAATTGTTTTATTTGTTTGGGTTTTCTTTATACATCAGAATCTCTATTTTCAGCAACACTGAGCATCCATAGTGGAAACTGCAGTTACCCATCTTTCAAAATCAAGCTAGACCTGTATGTTGGATGTCTTTCAGATTTTGCAATCTTGAGATCATCTAATAGAGATAACTTGAGAATATTTCCCCCTTAGTTACTTTCTGCTTGAACTTCACCAGACAGGATATGATCTACTGTTAGTGGGTAAATGTTACTATGTCTCAAAAGCTGAGGATTTCATAGGTTTCCTTTCTCAAGATGTCGCTTAATGCTGACCCAGGCACTTTTATCTATCAGTATCCAGTTTGCTGTTCTGGAGTAAAGCACAGTCATTGGCTAGTTCTAATTTCTTAGTCTCTTCTGTGCAAGCCCTGCCTGTCTGAAGGAAATGTTAAATCTGCTTTCTTCTGCAGTCAGGTCCTTTGGCTGCTTGCTTTTTTTTTTTTTTTCCCCTCACTTCTTAACTGATATGCTCCCACTTTTTTTCAACAAGTATTTTTTTTGGTCATTGGAAACCTGTAGTCAATTTTCATGCCACAAATTATGGCTGATTTCCTGAGGATATTCAGGCTTATTTTTAAAAGATTAGGGAAATGCAGCCGGAAGTATTTTTCCTATCCTGATTGATCATTTCTTTTTCATATGAGGACTTAAGTTAAAGGAGTGTGTGTACTGAGCTGTCACCTTCCTATTGTAGAAAGCAGAACTGAAGCTGATCTTTTGTTGGTAAAGATGCAGAAAGAGATGTCAGATATGTCATTGAAGATTGATAAGCCTGATGAATCATGTCTTAACTCTGACTTCCCAGGATGGATAATAAAACAGAAACTGTAAAACAAAATTAGGAAGAGGCTGAATATAAATTAGTACAGGCAGAAGAATTTAGGGAAATAGGTTGTAAAGAAATACGTGCCAAGAGTATAAATGTAGAGGCTGTTTGTCTGCTGTTTTAGTTTACTGTAGAAATTTGGAAGAGAATTGAGGACTGCAATGGTTCATTTCCTGTAGGGTTCCCCAAAGTATGTTAAAAAAGAAATAGATACTAACTTAGGACAAGAAGCTTTTTTTTTAATATTGCTTCTTTAGTCTTGATTTCTAACTCTCTCTAGTTCTTCATTATCTAAAATCAATTTTTATATAAAACGTCATGAGTTTGGTGCACTCAGCTGGGAACTGGAGTCCAAGAACTGTGGGAAGCTAGGAAATTTCTTTCAGAAGCACGTTTCAGGCACTATCAAGCTAAAATGCACTACATTCATGATATTTTTTCCCACATTTACCTACAGAAAGCTTACTGCCACAGTGTTGAATTGTGCCTTACCTGAGACTTAAAAAGATGTGACTATAAGGAGGGCACAGAGTCTTTCCTCCTTTCTCTCCTCAGTGTATCGATTTCATCCTTGTTTTTGTTGCTGAAATGTCTGGTAAGGACGCTAGGTGTGGTTATTTTGTGAATGCAATCAGTTCCTACTGAATATCACCGTAGTTTGACAGTCTGCAAAAGTATTATTTGAGAATGTTTTAGTCGTTCCCTGTTAGAGCTGATTCAGTCATCAAGTGATAGAAAGTATGTTACCTGCTCTCCTGAACTGCTGGCTGTACTTGAACCTCTTTGACTTAATTTATTCGTGTGGAATATTAGCTGATATTTGCCCTTTTTCATTGACCTATGCAACTGGGTTGGATTGAGGTTAATGAAATTGTGAAATAAGCCATCTGACTTGTGTGACAGTATATATAAAAGTCTAAAAAGCAGTTTTGAAGCCACTGCCTTTTTTCTTTTTTCATAGTCTGAGGCCTCAAGTTATTTTCAGACTTCTGTATTTGAGTTTGTAAATGGGTTATGATTGAAATTTATAGTTTATCTGAAAGATTAAGTCTTCCGTTTATTTTTATCTACCACTTGAGCTGACAGACTGTAGTTTATTCTTTCTGGTGCTTTCTTTAGATCTCTGTGCTTTGGGCAACTATTAATTTTCTGTATGTGTATGTATTTCTAATTACAAGGTGTCTCCTGAATATTCTTGCTGGAATTTGTTGGAAGGGTTTGTGAAAATAATTTCTGAGCAACTGGAATCGCTAGCAATACCTACGTAGGTAACACTTCATTTCAGCTAAATACAGGCTGTGGCGTTCGGAATCCATTAGGTACTTGGCTTCGACATCTGATGCACATCTGTATAGTTTGTGCTCTGCTGAAGAGTGGGGAGAAGGTGAAAAGTTTTCTTTGGAGTGTTATTTCCTTTGAGATCATCTTGCAGCAGCATTATCCCTTCTTGCCTTTCATTCTGTAAGGACAAGAGAGAGACTGCTGAAAGACTTGCAGCTCAGCTGGTCTGGATGCATTAATGTAGCTTATGGAATAGAAGTGTTCCAGATTCAGATGTGCGTTTCTGAATGTGTATGTGTAAACCGCAGCCTGGGCAAAGATTGGAAGAAAGTCTGCACTCATGCAGTGTAGTTTTTGATGCAGTTTCTTTATGCCAGTCTTAGACCCTGGAACAGAAGTATCTGGTACCTTTGAAGAGTAAATAGCAGCTAGAGGAAATGGAAAGCTTTGCCAGCTTTTTTAATAACTAGCAAAAATACATCAATTTCTAAAATTTTGTGTTTTCCTTGTCCTTCCCTGGATAGTATAGGTTAGCATAGAAACTATTGATTGAGGTCTACTGCTTTCTGGGCAGTCCCTTACATGAAAGTTTTCTGGTTTTATATCTGTCTTACTTGGTGAGATTAATTTAAAATTGTCTGTTATCATGACTTTTAGAGAAATAACTCCAGTAGCAAACATGCCACCTAAAGAAGATAAATGGCGTAGTGGAAAGGCTATTTTGTTTTAGTAAGAATTTTAATAGAAGTGACTTGAGTATTCAGCAGCTACACTTTCATGTTTCCTTTCTGCAAAAGGCCAAACTGTATTTACTGTTTTCTCACTAGCTATCAGTACTACCTAGCTTCAATTTTACCAGTTGAAATTGTAGTAAATTCATAGCAATTGTGTTGCCGGTGCCTCCTTTGTAATGGAATATATTAATTCCTATATGGCACAAGGATTTCTGAGAAACATTTTGCAATTGATTTTTCACACAGAACTGGGATTTGTTTCATTTTATGTTTTATTCTCTTGTCCTTATAGAACGAATCCTAGCATAACAATTAGCAGGCAGAAATTCACGCTTCGGTGCTGAAATGAGGAGATGAGGCATTAGGTATTCAGAGCACTGACACGGTAAACGTGAAAAACTCTTCTCAATTTATTAGAAGACACTGGATTTTTAATGACTACCGTTTGAAACTGGAGCAGCGGAATCAACAGTGGGATATTTTCAAACAAGCATTCTGATTCTGTTCTGAAAGATTCAGCAGTTGTCACTATGTCTATCTGCATCCTGTATTGGGCAAATAGATTAGATTTTCTGTAGAATATATAAAATGTGTATGTATGTGTTGCAGTGGGAGCAGGTTTGAGTTTTCAATGCCTTATGGAATAAAAATTATGTAAGTAAACTCATAAAGCAAAAGTGATTAAACTCATATATAACTGCAAAGCAAAGCAGACCTGTCTGTCTTCCTGCAGCAATAACTGTAGAGGCTAGAATGCATAGGAAGCAGGAGAAATAACTAACCAACTTTCAAAAAGAAAAAGAAATATATTTCTTTCAGGTTCTGTGTTAAATACATCAAATGTTGACGTTACATGTATATTCCTGTGAGTATATATGGATCAATATCTAATCAATATTTAATGTTATGTCTAGATTAGTTTTTACTTGCTGATTTCCTCCTAGGAGCTAAAAGCAGAAGTGATACTAAGCAGTTTACATCTTCTGCACATCAAGATTCAACATAACATGAATAGAGTATTCTACATTGTTCTCATACTATACAGATGGTGGAGTGAATTAACCCTTTTTGAGCCTCTAAGGAGTAGAATTTCTGTGTTCCTGATTCCCAGAATAGCACAGTCTGCCAGCATGAGGCATAAATCTTCATGAATCTTTTCATGAAGAACGAGAGAGAGAGTGGGTCAGCATGCAGAAAAGCATAAATCCGGGGGAACTGAATAGCTGAAGCACAGAGTGCATCCTATAGCGGAGAGTGGCCGTATAAGAGAATACGTAATGATACTGCAGCAAGCTCCCGGTCACTGCAGTCAGTGACAGAGCTTAGATGTTCTGTCTTACATCTAAGCTCTGTAATACTCTTAACTTTAATTTTGAGGTTTTGTCATTGTAATTCACAGATAAGAGAGCCTTCTCATTTCCATTTCTAGAAATTGCTCATAAGGAAACTGTAACCAAGCTGCAGTTGAGAGAGATACAGTGCTGTGTTAGCTGCTCCGGTTTGGAACGTTAAAGACTGGATTTACATTATTGTTCCAGTTTTAGCTGGGACAGTGTTAGCTCTTCTTTTTTTTAACAGCTAGAAGAGCTCCGTGTTTTGGTTTTACTCAGAGGCTCGCTCTGAGAAGAATATTGATAGCAAGCTGATGTTTGTGGTTGGATGTGAAACTCCAAGGACTTTTCAGTGTGCCAAGTGCAGAAGCACGGCGGGGTAAGGGGGGGGCGTCGCTGGGACAAGGGGGACACCATTCCCCTTGTGATTTGTGGCGAACTTAAGATTGAGGGCCAAACTGGCCAATTAGTATTCCATATCATGCAGCGTCATGCCCAGTATAAAAGTGAGGGTCAGCCGGACGGAAGGGTTTTTGCGCTTTGGCTTTTGCCGCTTTTGCTCTTTTGCGCTTGCTGTGTTTTTCGCTCTATTGCTTTTCTTTCTTTTTTTTTCTTTCCTCTCTCTCCCAGTACTCCCACTCTCGGAGTACTATCTCTCTCTCCCTCTCTGCCCCTCTCTATTTCGGGGCCTCGCGTTCGTCCAGGATTGCAGTTTCGGGACGAGACAGGCTTCGCATACGAGGGGGTGGTGAGCATCTACATTGTATTAAATCATCTGTATTAAATCACTCTTATCTCAACCCACGGGTTTCACGTTTATCCTTTAATTCTCTCCCTCATTCCTGGGGGTGGGGGAGTGACCGGCTGTGTGTGTGGGGGGCGGTTCGACCTAACCCACGACAACTATGCACAGTACATTCCTAGTAACTTTACAGAAGCTTATTTTTCGTAATACTAGTCAAGGCAAGGAATTCAGAATACCTCACTATGATTTCTTTTTTTCCCCAAAAATAACAGTTTTTGTGGACAGTTACTTAACAAAAGTGCCTCCCCTGGAACTGCAGACATCACTGACATAGTTTAGCTGCAGTAGAGGACATTGCTTAGAATTGCTGAGTGTGCCCTTCGCTTGCATCACAGAAGTATTGATTGCGTTTTGAAGGAGGACTGTGTGAAGTAGTTGCTGACAGTGGCATACAGTGAGCTGTTCTTTTCTATTCAAGCACTTCTTCCAGTCAGTCTCATAAAGCAGACTTATTCACGTGTTTTCTCACTCAAGACAAGAATGAGGCTAGAGAGATGGCTCATTTTCTGTCAGTGGCACAAACAACTTGCCCTCTTTTGCAACTGATGAATGAAACTCTGGATGTTTGTGGGATAATTTTAATACATTATCTAAATTCTCATTAAATTCATCACAGTTGTTACTGAACAGCTTTCTTTCAGCAGACTTGCCAAACTGAGTGAAACAATAAACTATTCTCTCTGTTCCAGAAGCGAGCTCTAGGTCAGGGACGTGGGGTGGGAGGCATTAGGGTAGTGCAATAGTGCTATGCATGCTAAATGCATTTGGACAACAAAGGTAAAGATGGCTTTAGTGTCTAACATGCTCAAATTGATCTCTTCTAATCACACTTAAAGGGCTTAGATACTGTTTTGCTAGTCCAAAGGCAGGTTGAACTTGACCATGTTTGTGTTCTTTCACAGGTGGACATAATATGTGGTGATCACCTGCTGGAACACTACCAGACACTGAGGGAAATTCGTCAAGCCATAGGAGAGAGCGCAGTACAGGTACACGTGGCAGCTGGGGCTTTGTTCCAGGTTTTCTGTTTTCAAACAGAAGACTTCTTTCTTAAGCTATCAGGTAGCACCAACTTGTCTGAAGAAATCACTTAGAAAATCTCTCCAGCTTATGCAAAATGGTTTTTATAGTGTAAAAAGAGCTGAGAGGCATACCATGTGCTAAGAGTGTTCTTGATGGTTTGATGATGTTCTGGATATGAGGATTTTGTGTTGGGTTCTTTTTCTGTTCTGAAATAAGTTGCTATCTTATCAGTGATAAATTATACCAGCTTTTCTTTCAATCAGCATTCTTTGTTTTCCTCCCTGGTGATTCCATCTCTGCAAGAAATTGAAGGACTGAAACATCTCAACTGTTGTTTGAGTGCCTTGTGACTGGGTCACGGGAATAAACTTGCTGGTAAAAGCACAAACTGAAGATACAGAGCAATGAATGCAATTAATATGCTTGTTACATATTATACCCATCCTGGTCACAGCATGAGTGTATAGCTATTTCTTCTTGATAACTTACTGTCTTAAGTGCTGCTCGCTCTGCGAAAGAAAAGCATTTTTTTTATTTCCTTGGGAATCTTTTCAAGCATCTTTATCATGGGAAGTCACACCACTTTAGAAGTGCAGCAAAACCAATGAAGTAGTCTGTCCAGTGCATAGTAAGATATAGATGTAAAACGGTTACGTGTGGCAAACTGTATTTTAATCTGCACTTGGAAGTCTGAAAAGTTAATGGGAAGAAATAGGATTTAGATGGATATTTTATTTGGGAAGCAATCTAAGCAGATGGCAGAAGGGCTAAAATAGTAGCAAATTCAGTGCACTTGATTTGTTTGTGCACATGCATGCACGCACAATCTTTTACATTTAAATTTGCTGCTGAGCCGTGTCATGCTACAAAAGGGCTTCTGTGTCAGGGGCAAGAAGTGGAAAGCTGATTTCAAGGTATCTTGAACATTGCATCACCTGTACCTGATTTGAGTAACCAGGAGGGATCCCACAGTCAGAGCAGATGTATGTGGCTCATGCTGTTTTTGGCAAACATGAAAAATCTTTGAAGCTTGTGGTTCTGCAGTCCAAGGGAATACATGCCATAGTTGATGTCTTAGCTGTTTATGTAATAATACAATGGAAAAATGAGAATGTAACCTAACCCACTTTGGGGAGCAGGGGATAGAAAGCAGGAGGAAGCTGGCACTGGTAACAAACTTGATTCTAACGTAATGAATTAATTGTGAATAAATACAGCAATCAACACATAGTGATGGAAGTGCCATCTACTAAAAGCTTCCGTAAATAGCAGGAGGATGATTTCTTTCTCAGTCCAGGGACATAGTCAAATGTACATGCTTTTAGACTTCATCTTAGCATAAAAGCTTTTCATGTATGAAAAATGCTCTTGGGGAAGCACTTTAAGGAAAACTGCATTTGTTTTGTTTCGTTACAGAAATGGATCTGCCTAGTTAAAGTTTAGTGTCTTTTATTTCTTGTCAGAATTGGGTCTGCCTGATTGATGTTAACTCAGTACCAGTCAGCTCTTTGCTCCACAAAGAGACCAGTTGTCTCAGGATATGTTCTCCATCTCCAGTGACGTTTCAGGTCTTGTTATTACAAAATCAGTATGCTAGTGATGAATTCTCGCAAGCTTGTTCTCTTGGCAAACAAACAGAAAAAGATCTTTGGTTTTTGTGAAGTCTTGTGCTTTCGTAGTCACTCTTGCCAGGGAATTTGAAAGATCAGGTTCATCCTTAATTTTTCTTCGTTTTGTTACAAAACCTCTTAGGATGCCAAATAGTTACAGTAAGAATGCAAATAACCCACAGTTGCTTCTTTTTTGATGTTGAAATAATTGTGACATTCTCGTGTTTTATAGTCTTACACTATATTATTTTGCGGAAATCAAGAGGATGCATTTCTAGGATTAAAAATCCTTGGAAAATGTTTTTAGATAATTGTGCAGAAAATAAAAAGATGAATAGGTTAAGTCTAAAAATGGTAAAGGTTGTTTCTTTTTCACCAAGACTTGAAATTCAATGACTGGCATAATTGTCCTCGTCCAGTGAGACTACAAGTACAGAGTACATTTGATGAATTTTACATTAAGCTTGAAGGTCATCTTGTGCCATCATAAACTTCCAGGCTTTCCAAACCAGTATTGGAGCTTGGAATGCCCCTAACAGCTCTCCCTAGGATGCTGAAACACTCTTCAAAACTGCTGTTGTCATTTACCAGTTTGATGTTCAGTGTAGATGCTTCATGCTAAGAAAATGTCAGTAACTACTTATGCAATACGAAGTCATTTAAAGGAATGAACATTTTTTTTATTTAGATCAGTATATTCACTCTTAGAGAAGAAAAATAACTGCTCTTGTGAATTGCATTTTTCTCTCACAAGTTCATTCATGTCAGCAGTTACTCTTTCTGCTGAGAAAAGGGTTTAAAAAAAGTAGGTAAGTTTCTCTTTCCCAAAGGCATTAATTTTAACCTGCGTTCTTCGACAGCATTTACATTGGAAGTTTCTTCCAATGCAGTGCAGCACAACATATGTTGTGTGTGATTTATTTTTCTGGGCCATAGTCATTGTAATTTTTTAGGGGCTTTTACTCATCCTGAATGGTTCTTAAATGCTCAAGATTGTTACACAGTAGGAAAAAACAACCCCAACAACAAAAATCTTCGCAAAACAATGTGTAGTGATGCCTTAGAGCTTCAGTAAAGTCTCCCCTTAGGTGCAAGCTAGCAGGGTTTTAGTTGATCTGAGTAACTGTGTGCCTTTCCAACAACTATGGGAAAATCCATCAGATCTCACTTGTAAAATAAATATTCCTGATACTGGCCCCATAGTAACCTGTTTGGATTGTTTTAATTGGAGTAAATAGGCAACTAATTTTAGTGGTTGAATGTGAACAACTAACATGTTCCTGAGTAGTTGATAGAAGACTAAAAAAAATCAGGAATATATCTTGTTTATTTTTGTAGATCTCAAGACATGTTAACGTTTCTGAAATTGGGTGGTTGGTTGAATCTTTGTAATTAGCTGGAAATAGGATTTCTAGCTCTGTTTCGGGCAAAACAAAAAAAATTGTTGCACAGAATTTATAAAATTTAAGCAAAGTTGCTTCTTTTATAAAACAGTGTAAAACTTGTGGAATTTACTGCAAGGAGAGAGCAAAGAGACTGATAGAGACTTTTAAAAGGCTCAATTTTGTTACAAGGCATTGAGATCTGCCTGTAAGCTAGAGTTTGATCAAGTAGCTGAGGAAGGAAGCTTATTATTAACTATATGGGAATATAATTTCTTCCCTGTGTTACCTTGCTCTCCTGTGCTGCACAAATGCAACATGATCCAAGCTGCTAGTTATTTTCCCTTGTCTGAAACTGGCCTTCTCAGAGCCCTCTCTGCGTCACTGATGGATATAATGAGCTCACACATGGGAAAAGCTAAAAAGAGTAGCTTCCTTTATGTCCTTGGCCCTTGGCACAGAGGTCTTGCAGATTATAATGCTCTCTTTGTGACTCTCACCTTTATGTAACCCAGTGCCATTGTACTTTTTTCGTCTCTTCTGAGCTAGGCAGTAAGAGCTGTGATCTAATTTAATTACTCTGACCCTTTAGCACACATTTGCTGTGGAAGTGTTTTACTCTTTGCTGTGGGAATATTGAATTTGGAAAGTGGGGCACTTCTTGTTGCTGCTGCTCTTACAGCATCAAAAGGTGTATATACTGAGATGTTTGTCTATCAGTTCCACTCTGAAGTTTATAGTTGGGTGTAAGGAGTGGGATCTTTCCATTTTTTTAGGTCAGGTTCACGAATGTGTGGCGAAAAAACACTGGAAAGTTTTACTGCGAGAAGGGATTATGTTTTGTTTTGCTTTTCTTTTGGACATGTCTGAGTTAGCCTGGTTTGAGATTTGTAATAAGCATTGAAAGCTCATTCTCTGTTTGAACTTCCTTTTAAGAACAGTATCTAGAGAAAGCAGCTGAACTACATAGAAATGTATAATACTTAAAAAGTGAATCATTACAGAGTAAGCAGTGCCAGTAAAGGGTTAAGTCTTAGCTTCTCTTTGTACAGAAGGAATTGCAGTGGGTTTGACCTTAAGTATAACAGGGATATTTCCTGTGTAGATAGGTAATTTCTTTAAATTAGTCCTACTGCCAAATGTACCATTTTCTTCTTGTATGAATATTTCTTTCCTTTAAGAAGCTCTGCCATAGAGGAAAAACTGTTTTTGACCACAGTTCTCCAAAAAAGAAAGCTTGCGTGTGTCTTACTGTCTCTATTGAAGTAGCTAACAGGCACAAGGAGTAAGTATACCTTTGTGAAGGTTTAACAGAACACTATATGCCAAGAGGTTCACAAGTAACTTCATAGTACCTGTTCTACCTAACAAGGAATGAGGACAATCAAGATCTGATCTTCATATTGCAATGCAGTCATCCCGCTTTATGCTATGCACTGAGTAAGTGAGTTAAAGCTCCTGTCTCCTCCTGTATCCTTTTGGGAGTTAGCAATGAATTTCTGGTTAGTAACAGGATGAGAAGATGCAAGTAAGTTAGTGAGCTGGCACTAGTATCACAGTAACAAAATACTTTTTTCATTCCTGTCCATTGAAGTTAAGGTTGATTGACACTAGGCCCTTTTTTGTCATCATAAGCGTCCTTTAAATGAAAGTGAAGCTGCATGAGACGCACGGAGCAAGCCCTCTTGCTGTTGTTCTGAAGCTGTTTGTATCAGGTGTAGCTGTAGAGTTAGGGAACGTGTATTTGCTGTAGCCTGAACATAGTCTCTTCTATAGGTGTTTCAGTGTGCTGTCCTTTTCAACATGACCCTTCAGGTTGGTTTTGGCGGTTCTTACAAAAGAATACTGTGATCCACTTTTCTCAGTGCCTGCATTTAAATCCCTTTTTTCAGATCTTCAGTCTCCATCTTGTGACTGACATCGCCATGTCCAGTGATGTAAAGCATTTGGGTTTGATTTCCCTTAGATTTAACTTGTGGATGCCAGGAGTCTGTAGATACAAAAGCAACAGACCAAGTTTGTAGAAGAAAAGTAATCAGAAGACACTTAATACAAAGCTACTTTGACTTAGGCCTTAGGAACTTCCCGAGAAAGGCTTTTAAAATTGGAAAATTATGTAGGAAGGTAGCATACTTGCCTGTTCACCATGAGGCTAGGTAGGCCTTTGGTCTACCCTTGTATGGCCTTTCTTAGGAACTTATATTTTTTAATTTTTTTTTTTAATTGACTCCTTTTTGGTGTCCTGTTTTCCTGCCTTAAAATATTGATCTTTAAGTAAATGACAAAATCTGTAGCCAGAAGTAGTTTCAGGTCTTACTAAATGAGCACGTTGGCTAAATTGATCAAAGTACCGCTGTTGCGGATCTGTGCCCTTCTGTTATGAATCTGTTTTCTTTCACCAACACATTTGAAAACTCCAATAGCTCTTCCACTTTCCTTTTCCCTTGAAAATAACATACTGCACTTTGCTGTCCCCCGTCCCCCCCCCTCAACCCGCCCCAGAACAGTAGCTTGGTTTTCAGTGGCACCATTTAGCTGCCAGACAAAGTTAAAGAAACTAATGGTAGAAGAGAGAGTAAAATAATTATACGCAGCAGCAATTAAGGTAGGTGGTTTTCTGCTGAAAGAGCTTTGTGGCACTAGAGGCAAAACAAGACTGTTTTTCTAATAAGAGTTCATCTTCCAGACAGAGTGTAGAAGTGTTGATAGGTGCTGTTTGAAAAGAATTCCCAAGGGAAGAAAAAAAGCATGTCATGGAGGTGCGGAAAAGCACATTCTGTCCTCTTGAGTCTTTTTGAGATCAATTTCTTAATCTTAAATTTCCTCCAATGCAAAATGGCTCAGGGATTATTTTTTTGGTGAGTAGTTGAGGCTACACAAACTAGTCAAAAGCATTTTTACATAGATAACAAATTATTGTTTAAAAAATACATATTCATCCAAAACACTGTTTCTGCTAATATAGTACTTTCTACTGTTACTGTATTATAATACATAACCTATAAAGTGGCAACAGTCTTGTTACTATTTTTTGGTCATTAACTTTTTAATTAAAGATAATTAATTTATTCAAGTTACACAGAACTGTGTAACTTCTCTGGAACATATGTTATCTTGGGTGCTGTATATTAATAGACAAAAACATCAGAAGCAAAATATGATAGAAGTTCTAACATGTCAGTTGTGATTAATGTAGTTCTCTCTTCAAAAGAAAAAATTTATTAAAGCCTGTCCATATAAATTGGTCTAATGCAACAAGTCAGATTCCCAGTGGATCAATGGTGGAAGCAGAGTAAGTGCTGGACATTTCACCAGGTGTGTGTGAATTTAGTGATGTAAGTAAGACTAAGTCAGGAAGTGTCCTGTTTCACAGGTGAAAGGTATTTTTATGATGTGGAGCAGTCTCAGAAGAGGAGAAACATGACTTAATAAACTAATAGTGTTTTATTTGTGGTTTGTTTTGGTTTTGGGTTTTTTTTATCTCTTGTGTTCATTACTTAATAAATGTGTAGTAGTAGTCTGAGCTCTTCCAGTACAGCTTTTGGCAGCACCTTCTAGAGCTACTTAATTAATGACTTTTTTTTTCTGCCCCACAGTATCATGTGGAAAGCAGCATGAGTTGTAAGTAGCCTATTGTATGACCATGAGATAATTGCATTATAACTTTAAAATAAAAGCAAAGTATCAAGATTTTTTTTTTTCTTTAAACACTCTTCTCCATCTCAAAGAGGAGAGAGGAATATAATTCTTTGCCTTGATATTTCAAAACTTGTATTCGCCATACGGAAGGGACATGGTGTAAAACATTGAGTGAGATCGAAGCCGAGGTTCTGCCACAGTGACTGTCATACCAGGTGGTGATGGAAATGCCTCATGGAGAAAGTGAAGTGGTATAATGATACAGTTTTTCTCTTTTCTTCTCTCCTCTCTAGGATGGTTTACTTGTACTGCACTATGGCCTGGTAGTATCTCCAGTAACTGTAACTTAAAGATTGCTATAGTATCAGAAGGCAAAAGAATCCAAATGGTCATCAAGCTTCTTCACTGCTGTTTTTCCACCAAAGGCGGTCATCGTATTTCTCGTGACAGGAAGCAAGTAAAAGGAACCACCACTAACTGCTGTATGCTTGTTACTGAACATCTGACTTTACCACTGTAAAAAAATTACAGCTTCTGTAAGTACAGCTATAGATGTTGCTATGCTTTGTGTTACAAATCACTGTCTTCAAATTTCACTCAGCTCAGGGAATTTAAATCCTCAGAGTAGCTGCATTTTTTTACTTTCTAAAACCACAAGATCTCATGGGGTGAACAGCCTTTTTTTCTCTAAGCTATGAGATATTGCTTGCTTTCTAAATGTCTAGCTAGAACAATGTTCTCAGGGATGATCTTCAGTGGGAGGCGTAATTTATTCTGGAGAAGAAACAGTCATTTGTGTAAAAAAAAAAGTGTACTGTGATCATCTGTCTTCAGATGTGATTTGGGGAGAGGAAGGGAACTTTATAAATGCAGACCAAAATAAGTAGAAAATGATGCATCATAAGCATTGTTTTTTGAGAAGTAACATTAAATTTAATTGTTTTTCTTGAAGAAAAACAATTTTGTTTGCACTGGAAATGTATTTGCTGGTAGTTTGGCTTATACCAAATGATGGATCATGCATCTCTAGTCTTAATGGAGATGAGCTGGCTGTAAGCTGGTTAAACTATGCATGAAAAAAAAAAGTAGCACCTCTTTCTACCTGCTTACTGTATGTAAAATAGTCACTGTCAGCCTGATTCTGCTGTCATGTAAAATCTGTCGACTGACTTGACTGGCAGAAGCATAAATCCTTTCACTTTAGCACGTATCTTTCTAGCAGCAGTGAAAATGGTAAATGGTAGCTTTTTCCACTCTTTCTAATGTGTATTAGTGCATTGTAGTGGAGACTAAGGTTGAGTAATGTAATACTTGCCTGTTACTACCAGATTCACAAGGACATGAGGTAAATTTGATTTTAACATATTAAAATACTAGGGGTTTGTGACAACTGTAATACGTCAAATTCTATTCTGTTTAATATTTCCGTGGTTTCTTGCACAGCTTTAAGGACCAGAGCTTTGTATGTTGTGGTCTTGCTGTGTACTAGATCATCACTGTGGGGATTCATGAAAGCTACCATTACACACCAGACTCTCTCCCTTCCCTGTAGTCAGTGGAGGGAAAGGGAGGAGATTCCTTTGTAAGGCGTTTCAGAGCACCTAAGTTAACTCAAATGCACTTGCTCACTGTCAACCTAAGAGAACTGGCATCCTTTGTCTAAAGAAGGCTTGCATGAATCCTTCCTTAGATCTTCACAATAAACATTCAGTTTTGTCTGTGAAGATGACACCATAAGAAAAAAAATAAAGTCTTGTTTGAATTAATTTTTGTGATGCTTCTAAAAAATGTAACAAAAACATTTCTAGCTAAAAATTCCTATTTTACCTTTACAGTTTGTATAAAAGTAGTGTTTAAAATGGAGCAGAAAAACGAGATTATTTTGTAAACACTTTGTGACTTGTGTTGATAAGAGATTATATATTGTAACAGTAAAATAAACTTTATTTTAGCCAATTTAAAATCGAGCTCTTGTATTTCTATGCCATGGTCCCTATGCCAGCCTCAAAATTAGAGCAGTTGATACTGAAACTGATGGGTGTGCTCTGGGGTTATTACAATTACAAATTTCAATTACAAGGTTGAATGTTGAGAGGTAGTTTAGTACCAGAATCTCCACTGGAGCTAACTGTCGTATTGCTAGCTGGAGTAACATGGAATTCCTGGGATTCTCCTTTTTATGAGGATTTTGGTGAGAAATAGCTCGGTAAAGATGTCAAGATGATTTTCAACACGGATGCAGGAGAAATAATCCTATGTAGTTACAGGACCCCTTTTTTCATCATTACATACATCTCTTTGTCAAAGCCACCTCTAGGTTATTTTCATTCGTGTTAATGGCTATTGTTACCAAGTCCCCTCTGAACCCGATCTTTCTCTGCCACCCTCATCGTCCTGGCTTTGTACAGGACATCTGACGTGTATTTCATACGGCCACTTCCTGTTTCGTTACCACTCATGGCTTTGTTTTCTATGTATAACTCTGTGCTTAATAAAAGGTTAGCACTATAGCCACATTTTACATTGCAAATTCTCCCCTAATCCAGACTTGAACTTCATGTCTACAGAAGGGCTTATTTGCAAAGTTTAACAGCTATATAGAAGCTGATAGTTAATTCAAATTAATGTCATTCTAGGACACTGCTGACTTGCGTAGCCTCAAGCTGACACTGCTGCCGCTGGCTCTGACAGCAGTGTCAGTTTCTCGTTTGTCTGGGTGTTTTTTTTAAAAAAAAAAAAGCTTCTGGATATCTTTAAAGATAGGTATTCTGTAGGGTAAATCATATGTCAGCTAAAATGTAGAAGGCCAAGCCTTCCTACTTCATTCTCTCAGTGGCTTAATGAGGAGGATTGAAGATCCATTGCCTGTGATATTTAGGTATGAATGCTTAGTGACCTCTTGTTTCCCATTTGTCCGCTTCTCTCTCTATTTCTTCCCCACCTGCCTTCGGAAAGCATGTTCTTAGCTTAGTTTTCCTGGCTGAACATCCTGCTTTCTTTCACCTCAAGGCATACTCTGAAGGCACTGATGCTTTATCTGCTCTCCAGGGCCTGCAGTACCCCTGGGGCTCCGCTGGCACAGCAGCGCACAGCGGGGGTGACCTTTGGCTGCTGCCAAGGCTGGGCTGTGGGCTGTGCAGTTTCCTGCGTAAACGTAATCACTGTGCTTGCTTTAAAATGTGCCGTTCTTTCAGCTCTCCTGCTGCTGTTTTATTTCTGATGGTCTCCTTTTAACCTTGGCTTTTCTCCAGTCACTTTCACCCCTGATGATATAAAAGCTTCTGTAACAGCAGGCTGTCTGTAGGATGGCATATCCGCCCGTGTGGGAGATGAGCTGACTTCGAGCTCTGGAAGTGAGGGAAGGTGTGCTTGGACTTGTTCATTATTTTACAGACACTGTTCCCTCACTTGATTGAATAATTCTGGTTACCTGCTTACCAATGTCATGGCTAACACATACCTTAATTAAATACTACTTGTACTGCAGCATAAGTCTGCTAATTTCCAGGAAGAGGAGACGGTGAGCCCTAATTTCAGGAGTTCTTACAAATGCAGAATCAAGCTACAATCAAGTCATGAACATTGGGTCGTGCTGGTTATGTTCTGCCTGTTTTCTTTGTGTTTAATACAGATTTAGCGTAATAAGGTAAGGTTCAAGCGACTAGTGAAATGTGCAGCTGGGCCCTCTAAGTGGAGGGGCACTGTGATGGCAATGTATAACTATAATTTATTTTCTGAACATTGCTGTTGCACCCAGGCTTGATCTGCATCACCACCAGACTGTGGCACACATGAGCCAGGAGAACCCGTAGCCATTATTTCCTTAGACGTGAAACAACCAGTGACTTTTACTGAAAAAATCATTCAAGCTTGTTTAGTACTAGTCCGTGTTGAATTTCTTTTCAGGGGATCATCAGGCATTTATGTGCAGTGATTTATGTTAACGCATGTTAACAGTCAGTAACAAATTAAAATTACAATCCCTGGCATTTCTGCTTTCACTTTTCTTCAGTATGGAGTATCACTATTATGAAATTTGTGCTCCATACAAATGGGGAAGGGGAGGATTCACTTCAGCAGTTGAGAGAGCGCCTATTAACAGAGGCAAAGGAGTTTTTATGTATTACATCCCTTTCTTTTAAAGGGAGATGGTCAAGCTGTCTGTATGAATCTTGTAACATGCTGCATGCTTAATAGAGTGCACCAGGTGCCAACCTGAATGTTTAGCTACTTGCAAATAGACTTGTTCTACTGTGATAGATACTTACTGAAAAATGGAGAATGTTGCAAATGGTGCATTCTCACCACTTTTGCTTTTTGTATGATTTTTTTCTGTAACCCAAACTAGTTCAGCACAAAGAGAAGCAGCAAGGTGATCATAAGTTGAATTTTTTTACTCGTGTCATCTTTAAGAGACCCTTGCTGAATGAGCCAACAGATATTCACGTTTGCTGAGGTTTCAGAAAGTTGCCACAGATACAGGTTTAATCACTGAACAGGTCAAATTTTATTGTTTTTGAGAGATAAACGGTAATCCTATCTGAGGTGAAATGTGGTATTGATTGGCTGCCCTGCAGCTGCAAAATTCTTGCTGGAGCTGTATCACTATATTTACTGGGTTTTGATTTAGTATAACAATAATATATTTGTGTCAAAGCAGCAGTGATCTGCAAAAGAAATATTTCCCAAAGTAGAAAAGAGAGCTTGTATTTTCTAATTGCTTGGTAAAATAATCTGTTTGGAAATGAAATCTTAAAATGTCCGTTTTCTTCCAAGGGAAACATTATCAGTAGAAAAGCGGGTGGTGAGGACTTGGCAAAGATTCAGAAAAATAGTGTGTTCCTGGGAGAGCTGCTTTGGAGCCCTTTTCATGTGGTGCTGGGAGGCAGCCAGTAGTTCCAAGACACCACGATGTTCTTGGAGCATGGTGCTTGCAACATGCTTTTCTGTAGGTTGTGATCGCAGAAGCGGTTGTGTTAACCGATGGACCAGTGTGTCCTTTCTTGCACGTAACTGGGACTGAAAGGTAAGAACTGCACAAGTGAGAAGCCTTCACAAGAACCTACAGTCTCCTTTTTCTTCCTCATGGGACATGGGAAAACATTTCAGCTATTGGTGGCAATAAAACAACAGATTATTTGTGTGCCACAACATACAAAGCAGGAACAGCAGTGGTCTTCCTCTGCGTGAGCGGGTAAGCTGAATGCAGGGGCACCTGCGTTCTTTTTCGAGCTCTGTCCTTGACTTGCTGTATGACCTTGAGCAGAGTTCTTCACTTCTCAGCTCTGTCCATCTAGAACAATAATTTCTGTAAAGTGCTGTGGATGGAAAACTCCGCACTACTGCTGAG